CAAACTCCTGGGCTCGAGCAGTCCTTCCACCTTGGCCTCCCAAAGTGCTTGGAATACAGATCTGAGCAACTGTGCCTGGCCTGTGTCATTTTCGACCTTGAGCCACCTAGAATTAGGCATGAAGTCCGTATTCAGAACCAACGTCAGAAACCGCGTATAATGAATCAGCTTGCTGTTAAGACAAAACTGCTCCTGCTTGTAGTGCCTTGAGTAATACACTAGGGGGCAGCATGGTCTAACTGCTGACAATGTCTGCAGCTTTCTAAAAAGGCCACTTTTCCCTGCATTAAGTGCATTTAGGAAAGACATTCACAAGAAGTGGGGCCATAAGTAGTCTCTGGAACTAACAGGCTAGTGACTCAAAGGCACCAGTGTGTTCAAAGATGACAAAAGTCTGCTAAGGTGAGGAGCCCTCCATGTGGGAAGTCTCCATTAAAAGACAAAGTGCCTCCAGAATGAGAGGGAATATCAGAATGTCACTAAGGGAGGAAGATGTCCCTTAGAAGGGACAAGAGGCAGAAATGGAGCAAAAGGAATGGAGACTCAGGAGAAATGCTGGCAGTGGCCACCTGGGCAGGCAGGCAGAATCTTGGCACCACTCAGCCCCACACCTCCCATGGAAATGGGGCATCAGGACAGAAGGGACTTGATGCAACCTGGCGTTCCAATCAGGCTACCCATTTCCCTGGATCTGAGTCCAACATCCTGACACAGCCCTGGAATAGTGTTCCTTCCTATGCCACGTCCTGCCCCTGTGCGCAGCCCCCGGGCTGTCCCAGCTTGCAAGCCCCGACAGTATCGTTACTGCAGTGAAAGGAAATGCCGGCCGACGCCTGCACACATCATCTCCACAGAGTGCAATTGGCAGCAGCAGGAGCTCGGGTCCCATCAGCAGTGAGAAGATAGAGCTGAGTTGGTGAGCTGACTGCCCAGGGAATGCAATAGACATCAGCTGGAGCTCGGGTCCCATCAGCAGTGAGAAGATGGAGCTGAGTCCGTGAGCAGATTGCCCAGGGAATGC